AAATTCCACGGTTTTAAGATGTGAATTGTGTTTGAATATGACGTTCTGCTCACAATTGACTTTGTTCGATTTACGTATAGAAACCACGATTTACACTTACAACCTGAATACCATTAACTACAGTATCTAAACAGTTGCTATTGTCTCACCCTGCCCTCGTGCCAGTACAGGGAATATATCACGTGTGGCGGTTATTGAATGTGTTCGGTTGTGTCGATTCACGAAATCCTCTTTACATGGATACTAATTCCGCATAAATACTAGCCAGACGAGGTCGCGTGAGTTGCGCCCTCTGCGGTGCTCCAAACCTAACACAGTGCGGTCTGATGACGGTCGGCCTGCATTCAGGCTACATAATACATACTAATGAACAGCAAAACACAGAAAATTGCGGGTATGGAATGGACAGCCGTGTTCTTAATTTTTCAATACCGAGGATTTGACAGAGTTTCACAACCAGGATGCAATTTTTCTGGTCATCCATAATGCAAAATAAAATCATCCAGCATTTAATTACTCGAGCCAATTCCAACGGTTGTTACATCACAACATACACCAAGGCAACCGTAGTGTTGACAACCACTGTACTTTATTTGGATACGTCATGTACAACTTTAAATCGATAATCATAATCGGTCAATAATATCTAGTCCGGAAAATACCGATTAGAACACTTTATTTTTTTCAAAATGGAATTATTTTGTCCATGTTTATTTCATTTATGCACGAAATGTGTGATAATGTAGTATTGCTATGATAATACAGCAGGAAAACGTGTTATCGTTGGATCACAGGGAGCCCAGGAACTATAATCAACTGTAGTACGCAGTCTCTATGAGCGGGGGGCGGTGTCGGCTGGTATCTAGTCACAGGGAGCCCAGGAACTATAATCAACTGTAGTACGCAGTCTCTATGAGCGGGGGGGGTATCGGCTGGTATCTAGTGTAAGAAATAGACAAGGGATGAAGGTTCCAGTCAGCTCACATTTTTTAAACTCGAAAAAACAGACGAAAAGAATGAAAAATAAAATCTAAAAAAAATACCAGGTTGAAGAACATTAGTTGCTCCTTCAAATTTCGATTGCTTTCAAATTAGTTACGAA